CTTTCAAAGTTTGTTACAAACCCTCCTGTTTTTCTAGTTTCAGAGAGTCTGGGGCCCTAAAGCTTTGAATCTCTGAGTGTTGTGAGACATTGCATTACAGTGCTTCTCAAACTTCATTCAGTGTGCTCTGGTGAAACACAGAGCTGGGTCCTGCCCACCAAAGCTCCAAAGATTCCAGCAGATTCTAATAGATTGTGATTATAGGCAGCCCCCCTCACTCAGGAACAGGGGGTAGTAGCTCACATTACACACACACACACACACACACACAAAACGTGGCCAGGAGCGGTGGCTCACGCCTGTAATCCCAGCACTTTGGGAGGCTGATGTGGGAGGATCACCTGAGGTCAGGAGTTCAAGACCAGCCTGGCCAACATGGTGAAACCCCATCTCTAGAAAAAATACAAAAATTAGCCAGGCGTGATGGCGATGCCTGTAATCCCAGCTACTCGGGAGGCTGAGGCAGAAGAATCGCTTGAACCTGGGAGGCGGAGGTTGCAGTGAGCCAAGATCGTGCCACTGCACTCCAGCCTCGGCGACAAGAGCGAAACTCTGTCTCAAAAAAAAAAAAAAAAAAAAAGAAAAAGCTTTGTTGAGATATATTTCACATACCATACAATCCTCCCATTTAAAGTTGTTTTTTTTTTTTTTCTTTTTTCTTGGAGACGAGGGAGTCTTGCTCTGTCGCCCAGGCTGGAATGCAATGGCGTGATCTTGGCTCACTGCAACCTCCACCTCCCTAGTTCAAGCAATTCTCCTGCCTCAGCCTCCTGAGTAGCTGGGATTACAGGCACGTGCCACCACATCCAGCTAAATTTTGTATTTTTAGTAGAGATGGGGTTTCACTATGTCGGTCATTTAAAGTTTTTTAGTATATTCAGAGTACTACAACCATCAGAATATTTTACAAGATTTGTATCACTCCTAAAAAGAACCCTGAACCTGCAAGCAGTCACTCCCTATTTCTTCCAACTTTCCTCAATCCCCACTCCAGCCCCAGGAAACCAGGAATCTATACTTTCTCCCCATATGGATTTGCCTATTCTGGATAGTTCATATAAATAAAGTATACAACAGTTGGTCCTTTGTGACCAGCTTCTTTCAGTTACTATAATGTTTTCAGGGTTCATCCATGCATCAATACTTCATTCCTTTTTATGGCTGAATAATATTCCACTGTACAGATACACCACATTTTGTTTATTCATTCATCAGTTGATGAACATTTAGGTTGTTTTTCTTTTTTTCTGAAGCAGAGTCTTGCCTTGTCATCCAGGCTAGAGTGCAGTGGCATGATCATAGCTCACTGCAGCGTTGACCTGGGCTCAAGCTATCCTGCTGCTTCAGCCTCCCAAGTAGCTGGGACTGCAGGAAGGCATCACAACGCCCAACTAATTAAAAAAAAAATTTTTTTTTTTTTTTTGTAGAGGTGGGGTGGGGTCTTGCTATGTTGACTAGGCTGGTCTCCAACTCCTGGGCTCAAGTGATCCTCCCACCTTGGCTTCCCAAAGTGCTGGGATTACAGGTGTGAGCCACTACTCCTGGCCTGGTTGTTTCTACTTTTTGGTTTTTATGTACTATCCGTGAATTAATGTTGCCATGAACAGTGTGTACAACTTCTTATATGAACAGGTGTTTTCGTTTCTCCTAGGTATATACCTAGGAGTGAAACTGTGGAGTCAAATAGTAAATCTATATTTAACTTTTTGAATTGTGCCACTGCACTCCAGTCGGAGTGACACAGTGAGGTCCTGTCTCAAAAAAACAAAAACAAAAAACTTTGAGAAACTGCCAGACTGTTTTCCAAAGCAGCTGCACCACTTTGCATTTCCACCAGCAGTGCAAGCGGGTTTCAATTTCTCCACATCCTGGCCAACATTTATTATTACCTGTCTTTGATTATCGGCATCCCAGTGGGTGTGAAATGGTATTTCACTATGTTTTTAATTTGCATTTTCCTTGGGTATCTTTTCTCATGCTTATTGGCCATTTGTATGGTTTCTTCAGAGAAATGTATATTCAGATCCCTTGTCCTTAAACTGGGTTATTTGCCTTTATTAAATTATAGGAGTTCTTCGTGTATTTCAGTAAGTTTCTTATCAGATATATGAATTGCAAAAATTTTCCCCCATTCTTTGGGTTGTCTTTTCACTTTCTTAACATCCTTTGATGCATAAAAGTTTTAAATTTTGGTGAGTCCAATTTATTTTTTTTCCTTTGTTGCATGTGGCTCACATTTTTGAGAAATGTTGCTAAAATGCAAGTTGGAACTCTGGAAGCTTTGAGATCTCAGAGCTTGGTGGGGCTTTTCAGGTCACCTTTGAGGGGGATTTTCTCCATGTTTGAGGTTTCATTCCTCCATCCCAGCCAGGCATGGCTCCTCTGAGCCAGGAGCACAGAGCCCCAGGGAACCTTTACTGGGCTTATGTTCCCCCCCTCTCCTGAGGTCTGCCACAATAGAGCAGCTGAAATGACAGTCTGGAAATGTCCTTTATTATGAAAACTCAATGGCTGTTGTCTCTGGGATTTGAAATTTTCATGCAAGTATTGGCAGCCAAGAATTAGGAAGGAGGAGGGGAAGAGATGAGGGAGTGAACCCTGCCACTGATTTCCATAGTGAGTGATCTCAATTTTCTGTTGTCTTGGTTTTCTCACCCATACAGTGGGGAGAAGACCTCCATCTCCTCATCTCAGCTGGGGTACTGTGAAAGTGAATTCATCTGTATTTGTTAGAACATCCTGAGATCTTGGATTAAAGGCATTGCTGAGGGAGAAGGTACTATTAAAATAATAAATGATTTAATAGCAGGGTGAGGCCATTGCAACAAGAACTGGTAGGAAGGAAGAGGCTCTGAGCTGTGGAGGGGCTGCAGCCTGGAGCCCCTGGCCCTGGACACAGGGTTTTATTCTCCGAGGTGAGACTGTGCGATTTCTCACAAACTCTTTAGGTTGTTTCAGCTGAATTCAGCATTGTTTTACTGAATGCTTCCTATATGACTTCCACCACAGGGAGATTACAATCCTTTTAGGAAGTAGGTGATATAAATTAAAACAATTATTCATAGAAACAATATAAGATATTATAATCAAGTGAATTGGGTATAACAAGTGTCAGAAAGAAACTGGAAGCAGTGGTGGTTAAGAGCAGAATTCCCTGTTATGACTTCCAGGTCTACCACTCACTAGCTGTGTGACTTTGCCTCAGTTTCCTTTTGTTACTGCAGTTGTTTTTGTAAAGCACTTAGAAGAATGGCTAATACATAGTAAGCACACTCATGGTGGACCCATCTAGGCACTTGCCCAATATTGCTTTTGCTGGTTATGTAATCTTTGCCAAGCTGCTCCTTGCCCCTAAGCCTCAGTGCTCTGTCTGTAAGATGGGGATTAGGACACCTCCTACCTCGCAAGGTGGCTGTGAAGATCCAGGGACACAGTTTGTTAAGAGCGTAGCACAGGCCCTCAGCATGGTAAGCATTCACTAAAGGACAGTTATGACTGCCACTAACACTGTAACGTGTCCTGGCTAAGGAATGAAGGGTCGCTCACAAGTGGCTTCGTTAAGTCAGAGGGCTTCTTTGGAAGCTGGAATTTGAAGCGGACCGGAAAGCATTCGTAAGATTCAGGTAATCAGATAAGAAAGCAGAAACAAAAAAAATGGTGAAAGCCTGAGGTTGGAAGGGGTGAGCACAAGTCCTGGAAGGCCAGAAGGGAGACTTGTGACTTTTCCCCTGGCCGGCGGGGGCTAGTGGAGCACCAGCGTAAGTTGATCTATTTCCGAGGCCCTCTTCTGCAATCTCTGCTCTCACCTTCGCGGTCCGCGAGTCTGGAGCTCTGCGAGCCTCCAACACACCCTCCCTCCCTAAGGAATGTGGGCCCGGCTTTCTGGGCCTGTCAGATCGAGCGCCTACCGCTTCCTCCGCAGTCAAGAGCCAGGACGCTGCCTTCACCCCACCCTCCGCCAGCATCCAGTTTCAAAGTCACCTGAAAGCCATTTCCTTCCGCGCCTGCCCCGCCTCTCCCCTCCCAGCAGATCACCTGGACCTTGCATTTGCCCAGAGCAGCATTTTGGGGCGGACGCTTGTTTTGTTTTAAATGATACCTCTAGAAATCTTTTGCTGTACATCCGGATAACAAATATACCCCGTGGTTTTGATATCAGCGTCCCATTCCTCCTCCCAAGGAACTAGTGATAGCGTCTAAACAGTGGGAGTTGTTACTTTTCCAGGGCCCCACTCTGGGCTTCCCTCCTCCGGGCTTGTTGGGAACAGCATCGTTTCTTCAGAATCTTTATTGATGAACTACTATGGGTTTTTGGATTTATGCTGTTGCTCAAAATCCAACATGCCTGTATTGAATGCCTCTGTCCCCCATCCTCACCCCTTGCCCCCAGTTTCCAGGTGTGTACCTTTCCATGCACACACGGTCATATATATACAGAGACATAAAGACAAACGGTTCTCTTTGTTTTATAAAAACGAGGTCCTCTATCACCCAGGCTTCTGTGTTTTATTTTTCCTATTTAACAGTTCCTTGTGGAGCTGCCTTCAAGTTATCTCTTTATCTCTTTCCCGTCAGCTTCTCAGAGGTTTGGATTTACCACTGTAAAGCGTCACAGGGACCGAGTTATGGTGAGAAATTCAAGACATGCCTTTCTGACTTGGAAAAGCGGAGATGGCCAGCTCTGGTAGGATCAGTACCCCGAGATTCGATCCCAGCTGGTGACTCACTTGGGAAAGCCCTCAGCCCCCTTCGCAGGGCCCGGTGTTCCCTGTCCGTACAAGGGGTACGTTCTGGCCTGGACATGCGCTCTCGGGAGGCAGTGATAGCAGGTCTGTGACACCAGGGTGACCCCACCACGTGCGTCTTGGTATCCTAGAGCATCTAGGCTGCCCGGGAGGGGCAGGCGGCCGGCAGGACCGACCATCCCGTGGTGTGAGCTCATTACCCTGCGGGTGTTAATCGTTAACCGCGCCCAGGCCCCGCCGCCGCCTCAGCCTTACCCCGGCTCTGGCTCGCCAAGCCGCGAAGGTTCCCCCGGCCCCCGCAGAGCCGCCAATGGCTGGACCGCAGCCGCGGGCCGGAGTCTCCACCCACAGGAAAAATTCCTGGCCCGCCCCTCCCTCGCTCCCTCGCTCCCTCGCTCCCTCCTGCCCTCCCGCTGCAGCTCCGGCTCCGCTCCGCGACTTCCTGCCGGGCGCTGGGAAGCCGCGCGCTGCCTGGGGTCCCCGGGGGCCGCGCTAGCAACTGACCGCGTCCTGGCCGGCTGAGGAGCTGGCGGTGGGCGGGAGCTGCCGGCTGCCTCGGCCCCTTCCGAGAGCGACTTTCAAACTCGCGCCTGAGTCGCGGCAGCACCTGGGCAGCCCCGCACGCCGTGCGTGTCCCGAGCCCGCGGGGCGGCGAACGCTCGGTGAGTGTCCCCTGATTCTCCTCTCTCCCCTCTGTCTGCCTGCATTCGGCGGAGCGGCGGTGCCAGCAGTCACGCTGGGGCCCCAGTCCCTTCGCGGCCCCCGTGTCAGTCCCCTGCAGGGTGAGGACCGGGGCGACAGAGAACCCGGGTCACCCTGCCGCACAGTGCGCGAGCGCAGGAGGGTCGTGTGGGAAGACTTTTTCTGTCCTTTTTTCCCTCCACTCCGGAAACAAAAGGGGCAAAATGCGCCGGGCGGCTCCAGAGAGGCTCAGTTTGAAATCCAGGAAGCCCGCGAGGCCGCGCGCGCCGGATAGCTGGTGTTTGGCTGGAGCTGTGGGCCGGGCGGGCGGACCCTTCTGCACTACGACCCGAGCCACGGCTCCTGCCAGCCCGGGAGGCGCCTGCAGTCTGTTCCGGGTTGGTGCCGCATGGTGCTCGTTGTTGGGAATCTCCGCTACCTGTCTGGGAGGGAGGAGAGTGGGGGTCAGAAGCGGGGAGCGGTAAACCCAGAGGCACCCGGCTGCCTCGACCTCGTCCACTCCTGAAGTCGGTTTGGTTCTTCGCACCCCCACACCCAGCCCTTTGGTTTGGAAAGCCAGGATAAGGCGTGCAAGCTTAAACTTTTAAGGCGTTATTTAAATAGCTACTGACTCTTTGGGGCGCCTTTGGAACACAAAAGGAAGAACAGAGGGGGAAATGGAATGGTTGGAGGCTGGAGAGGTGTGGCTTTTGGGGAGGGTGGTGTTGGCGGCCGCGAAAGAGTTTGATCCTCGAGGTCACTCGCTAATCTGTTGGCAGATGTAGGTGCCTGTCCCTTGCTCTGGGGCACCCAGCAGGAGACCCACACTGCATTCACCTTACAGGAAAACCTGGACTGGGGGTTCCCAGAGTCTCCCCAGCCGTGCCTCTGCACGCAGCCCAGTCACATGGCCCTTGCTCAAGAAATAATAAGCAGGGAGGGTAATGACAGTCCGGAGCTGGGGAGGGGCTCCCCGCTGAGTACATCGGCCGCCTAGCCTTAAGCAATGTGGCTTTCCGGGCCCCCTTTGTTGGACAAGGATGAGATCCTGAGTGATTAAGCCCCAACTGTTCTCCTAGGAGGAAACCTAGGGAGTGAGAACCAAAAGTGTACATTTATCTCTCTGTTATTCATCTCTCCCCTGTGGTTCCGGGCTGGTCCCCTGGATGCTATGACCTCACCTCCCCTTTGTCCCCCACTCCTTCCCCACTCCCCTGCTCTCCCCCACTCCCTTCCTGGAAGATGGGGCAACCCATTGGCTCCCTGGGTAATCAGCCCTGGGGATGGGGCAGGGAGTTGGGGGAAGAGGTACCCCCAGGCCAAGTCCTAGCTGCTGAGGGAGTGATTGGTTGAAGAGCTGCTTTGGGGGCTTTTCTACTGCCTTTTATTAGAAGTGACATGGCAGGGAAAGTGGAAAGAGCACTGGCCTGGTAGTCCAGCACGGGTTTATGCCTGGACTCTTTCAGTTTTAGTTTTAGACCTGGCTCTTCTGCATAGCATGGAAGATTGATAGAGTTGACTGGCAGTCACTTGGGCTGGAAGGCCCCTTGGATTAGCCTACTCCATTTATTCGTGAAGGCAGCAGAGCCCAGAGGGGTGAGGTGATTTCAGCCTGGGACCCTATTGGCCAAGTAGAAACCAGAGCTCCGTTGTCCTCATCGTCTGATCTGTGTTTTTTCCAACGTGATCTGGCTAATTCACTTATCTTTTCTGACTCAGTTTCCACATGAATAAAGTGGGATTACTTGCCTGCTCTTCCTCATAGGAGCTGTGGTGAGGATCAAAGGAAGCCTCATTTGTGGAAAGTGCTCCATAAACTTATGTTAAAACTAAAGGGCTCACAGTGGATGGAGAGGGAGTCTCCTAGGGGTTTTACAATTTGCTGGCTATGTCCCACGTGTGTGCCACAAGGAGCTGTTAGACACCAGGAGCCATTAGTGGATGTTTAAAACACCCTGGTCTTAATATCTCAGCTCCAGAGTAAACATTTGCCTTACCAAATCCGCAGCTATCCCAGGGTCACTGTTTATGCCGGAAGAGGCCAAAGGCCACGGCCAGCGGGATGACCAGGGCCGGAGGGGGAAGGCGCCTGTGCTGCAGAGGTATGCCTTGCCCCTTCTCTTCTCCCAGCTCCCAGAACCTTGTGAAGGTTCCAGCTGTAAGCCGGGGGTGCTGCCACAAGCACAGGCCGCCCTGGCGTTGGAGGGTTAAAAGTGAAGCCCTCTGGCTATTCTCTGTTGTGTTGGGGGTTGCAGGGACTCTGGAGGCTGTTGCTTTTGCAGCTGCACTGAGGGCTGTCTTCAGCTCCTCCTCTGTGCCCCCTCCCCCATCTCAGGCCGCCCCTCTGGCCCAGGCCACTGCTCTGTCCCGCCTCTCTGGCCAGCTGCAAGTCCACAGGCCTTTGTTCTGTGGCTGTAAACCCGCCCTGCTCCACCCTCCCTCCCCAGCAGAAGCCCTCCAGCTGGGGCCCTGGCAGCTGGAAATCACAACTGCCAAGAGGAAGGGGCTACTAGAGCCCCCAGTGGACCTGGCAGACCCTCATTTCCTCTTGTTAAGCTCATCTGGGCCCCCCAGTTCACCTGTGGCCAGATTCCCACACCATCTTTTCTCATCTCTCCTTTCTTCCTCTGAATGAACGGATCACCTTTTTTCCCCAATACTCATGCCCCTTAGTTCTATTTAAAAATACTCCATTCATTTAACAGTTAAGGAGTTAGCACCTACTATGTATGAATGCTAGATGCAGGAGACACAGCAGTGAAGAAAATATGCAATAATTATTGACCTCATGGAGCTGACTTTAGCAAAAGTGACAATAAACAAGATTGAAATAGCAAGCGTGTTAGTGATAAACAGAAATAAAAAATATTATAGGGAAGGTAGGTGTGAATTGTCATGGAAGGGATGAGGTGACAGTTTAGATAGGGTGGCCAAGGAGGCTTCCAGGAGGAAGGTACTTTTGAGGTGATGCCTGAAGGAGGTATTTTCCCTCATCTCTGCCTTCTCTTCCTTGAAGGCCAGTTCATCCCACTGTGGCATCGAGGAACAGGGTTTGGAGTTGGACACACCTTGGTTTCAAATCCCTGGCTTGACAGCTCACCAGCCATGTGGCCTTTGATGTGGTGCTCAATTCCTTTGAGCTGTGTGTCTCACCTAACATGGAATTAGTCATCATACTTACCACATGCGGCATCGTGGCAACGTACAGTGAGATAACATATGTTGAATGCTTAGTAAAGACTAGAGAGAGGTTCAGTAAATTATTTCTCCAACCAGATTCTTCGGGGTAGCATGAGATATTTCATGCCATTGCTAAGGACTGTAGGTGCAAAGCTTTTCATTTTAGGTATTGGGCACGAGTGGGCAATTAGAGGGAGGGTAAAATAGAAAACCTTGGCAAAAACTTTCTAGTTAGGGAGCCTTTCCTGCCCTACCCTAGATTGCAGATGGCTGAGGACGTGGGACTCCCAGGTACGTGCTATGCCCACCCCCACCACTGCATCCTACAGATAGGATGACAAGGATAGCCCTGACCACCCCCCTCTTGCACAGAATTCCCCCTGCTTCCAGCCAGACTCAATGAATCACACCTTCTCCCTGACCTCCCTATTCTGCCTCACTGCTGGGAAGGCTGTCCACCCCTCCCCCAGCCTCCAGTAGGTAAATTATGCCTGGAGGTCGGATGCAGAGGGGCGCGGGGACAAGGGGTAGGGAAAGTGAGGGAGGGGGCAGATGGTGAGTAGAGCTGTCCTAGGAAAGCCCAGAAAGGTGGCAGGAGGATTCTGGCGGAGGCTCTGAGACGGCTTGGAAGACTTTCAATAAGGGTTTGCCATGGACCAGAATTTAAAGTAATAGAGTGACAGACACAATGAGAGCTCAGGGTTGGCTGCCTAGCTCCCAGCCACTTCTACCCAGCTGATCTGCTGAGTCTCCGCCCCCCTCTGCTGGAACCACGGGCCTACAAAGGGAGGGGTGTAATCTAAAGTACCGCTGTCAAAGTTTGTGGTGAGTGGCTTCCTGGGACCCTGCCCTAGTTCAGGAAGTGAGGGATAGGCAGTGGAGGGTGAGGCCTAGGGAAGTGGTCATGGCCAGTTCCACCCCCTGCCCCACCCCCCAAGTGTGTTGCTGCACACTCGGCAGCCAGGCAGGCCCTGTGATGAAGGAACTTCCTGGGCCTGCCAATTGGTGCCTGGAAATGGGTAAAACCTAGATGATCTGATATCAGAGGAAGTTGCAAAGAGGACCCTGAACAGCCCCAAGCATGTTAGTGTTGGGTGACCTGAAGTCAGGAGAAAGAAAACTGGACAACGTGGACTAAACTGATCAGCAGGGGGCCCATCTAGAGCCACTGGTAGCCCCTCTGTCAGCTGCCTGGGGATAAAGGTTGGCCATGCTAACTGGGTTGCTATCTAGGAGACAGGAATGGTACTGGACTCATTTTTGTGCCCAGATAGCATTGAGAATGGTACAAAGTGTGATCAACAGGGAGTGATGGGCTTGGGCTGGGGTCCTACCCTGAGGGTATTCTGGGCTTGTGGTCTTATCTGCTGCAGCTTTTGTTCCATGGGATTAGGGAGAAGAAAGTAGTGGTAGGGTCGAGTCCAGCCCTGGGAGGGCTGTTGCCATCTGGGAACGCAAGCACTAAGGAGAATAAGGCTTTATACAGTTCTCGCGGCCGGCCTTTGGGGAGGGAGCCCTATGTAAGCTCAAGGAATGGATTTTTAAGGACTTGCACTGTCTTTCATGCTGAGCAGACTTGGGCTGAACACAACCTGAATAGGGTTCTCGTGGGCACAGTGGTAGCTGTGCATGCAGCCTTTTGTGAAACACAGTTTGAGGGTCCTAGAAGCTGATCTGATTATTGCCAGAATCTGGGCTGGGACTGGAAGAGAAAGATGCAGGAGGAATGAAGTCTATTTTACCTTGGGAACAGGGTCCCAGGAGGAGAGATGGGTTCCACAGGTGCCGGAAGCTCTTAAAAACTCACATCCTTTACTTCCCAGTCTGTGGGACTCTGTGTGTGTGTGTGTGTGTGTGTGTGTGTGTGTGTGTAGTATTTATTGGAAAGGAACCAGTCTTCTCATACAGCTTCTATTCCTCCAGTTCATTGCTACATCCCCAGTGCTTGTTGTACAGTAGGATTGCAATAAGTGTTTGTCTAATAAGTAAAACCCTACTGTGTGATGAGACCTTAGGAATTAAGGAAATGCTCACACTCTTTATGAATGTTCTGTTCCTGACAAAGAATGTCCATAAGATTCTAAGAAGTTAACCTGTAGTCAGCTGTTCTGACAGTGGGGCAGGAAACCCTGTATTCCTGCAGCATGTATAAGAAGGAGACCTACAGTCATTGGGACCTGTCTTCAAAAGCTTGCTATACATTTTGCTCCCATGAAAGGTGGCCCCAAAGTGGACAGCAGGGTGTACTTATAGCGTTGGATATAGTTCTTCCCATAATATGTTCCACAATATCCAATAACAACTCTTCTACCCTAAACTCTTATTTGGAACTCAGCCACCCAGCACCCTTGCTTATTTGCATGTAGCCAAGAAGTCAAGGACTCAAGTTCTTACATTTTTATTCATACCAGCCTTCTCAGACCCTGTTTAACTTACACATATAAGCTGTGTCATGCTGTGTTCAAGCTTGGAAGAAGCAGCAAATGAAGGAGGATAAAGGCCGGGCGCGGTGGCTCACACCTGTAATCTCAGCACTTTGAGAGGCCAAGGCCAGTGGATTACCTGAGGTCGGGAGTTTGAGACCAGCCTGGCCAGCATGGTGAAACCGCGTCTCTATTAAAAATACAAAAATTATCTGGGCGTGGTGGTGGGCACCCGTAATCCCAGCTACTCAGGAGGCTTGAACCTGGGATGTGGAGGTTGCAGTGAGCCAAGATTGCGCCATTGCACTTCAGCCTGGGCGGCAAGAGTGGAACTCTGTCTCAAAAAAAATTAAAAAAAAACATGAAAGAGGATAAAGAAACCAGCATTGAGGGGGAAAAAAAATGACTACAGTGCAAAGTTGGCAGTGAGAGCAGACTGAGATAAAAACTCCAGGAAAAGCAAGTGCTAGCAGAAGTGCCAGAGATCTTTTTTTTTTTTTTGGAGGGAGGGGGCGTGGAGGGAATGATTTGGCACTCCTTGGGTCTCTGGGGATCATCAGTTTGATAATTTATGCTTTGCTGGTAATTGTGACCCAGAGTCATCAAGAAAAGGTTAAATTATGTTCCCTTGACTCTGTTTAGGAAGGCAGGGAAGTGTATAACATATTTTCAAAAGATTCTCAGTCAGGTTGGCTAAAATTTTAAGTGTTGATACTTAGGTAATAATATCATTGATCCTTTCAACAAGGCCAGGTAGGTGGTTTACCCCCTTCTCCTACCCCCAAATGAGGAAACCGAGTCCCCACGAGTTAGGTAACTTGCTCAGGATTGCTCAGCTAATACTTGGCAGGGATGGGGTTTGAACTTTTGGAGCATGCTCTTAGCCCTAGCCCATACTGTTTTGAAACTCTGCGCGCTCTTGCAAATGCTGCTTTTTGGACGCCCTCTCTCCACAGGGGTTCCAGCTGGCCAAGGTTTGACTGTGTTACAGTAGAGCCTGAATGGGTCCAATCTTAATTCAGCTCCACCCAAGCACATTGCCATTTATCCCAAAGGGTGTTTGCCTCAGTTGAAATGAATGCTTTTAATGCATTTACATTGTAAGCACCTACCTGGGTGTCACACAGCACTTTCTGAAGCCAGAAAATGACAGAGAGGAGTTGCAATTTCAAGCATCCCAGGGCTCTTTCCATCTGGAGCTTTGTTCCTTTGTTTGGGTCTGGATACTGGCAAATGATGCTGTGCTGTGTAGCCTTGGTGCCTGTTGTTCCAGCTGGTCTCCAGGGTGGCTGGGGCCCGTGCCTGCATAGGAGCCCCTACCCCAACCCCATGTTCTCACCATCTAGATCTGGCAAGTGTTGATTTTCTTTTTCTTTTTGTCAAGACAGGGTCTCATTGTGTCACCCAGGCTGGAGTATGGTGGCACGATCATGCGTCACTACAGCCTAGACTTCCCATGCTCAAGCAATCCTCCCACCTCAGCCTCCTGAGTAGCTAGG